TTGTAAGTAAAATGTACTGCATTTTACAATGGTTTTTATTGCTTTTAAAATTGCAATCAACAGTTTCATTGGTGCCGGCGGTGATCGAACCTTTGCAAGCGTACTGTTAAATTTACAACGAACTCATAGCCCCTGAGCTTTGAATTCACTCTATGAGGAAACTTGAATGTCTGAGAAATAAGGAAAAAATATTTGGATGCCATGTGAAGTTCGCAAACCTACGGACATTTCCTTGCCCTAAACCATCTCAGAAATGAGAGGAGGCCTGTGCCCAGCAGTGGGACATATATAGGCTGTAACTTTTAAATTAATTGCTTTTTTCCTTTAAAGTTTTAATCAACAACGCCTGCTAGCCCGTGACCTTGTAGATTGTAAATATATTTTTCTTAAAAAGAACACTTGACGAGATGCTCCGATTTTCCTCGCACATCTCTATCATCGATAATACCAGTTTATCGACGATAAACTCATGATACGTTGTAAGAAATTTTTATCGCTTAGTTAAAAAAAAATTCTATGCATTTGACAAGTGAAACGCGAAAGATGAAGTTTACTGTGAAAAAGTGATTTCAGTTACTTTCAGTTTCATTCCAATAACTTGCTACAGCAATTTGTTGAGAGTGTAATTTGTGTAGATTAGTGACACTTGTCTTGTTTGTATAACAAACAAATCTTTGTGTCAATATTTCAAACGTTTGATTCAAAATGCCTCCAATGTTCGGATACCCCAATTATGACTTTCTGCAAGAAAATCCCCATAGTGAAAACGACCAGAAAGTGGAGGGGAATGTGACCTACTTCGGCTTGACGGAAATGGCTTTCTGGTACACTGTTGTACTAGTCGCCATGCTCTTCCTGTGGCTATTGATGTTCTTTTGCCTGAGGCTAATTTCAATAAGTACCTATATTGTTATCTAATTCTGTGTCACATGACTTTTATCGTTTTCTTTTTTTTCTTTTAATGTATCATTGCTATCGATAAAAATGTTATGCGTATTTAGTCGTTTTAGGATTTAAATTTGCGATATTAATATCTTGTCAACAATTGTCACGTGTTCGATTTATAAAATTTATGCAGTTAAGATTAAGAAAGATATAGATAAATCAATAAAATTTTCCTTTTGATTAGACAATTTGTTACATTTAATTATAAGGAAAATCATGGAATTTAACATTTAAAGACGGGAAATGTTACTGACTACAAAATGCGTACAGCCTAATGTCTCGATCGATTTGTCATTTTTGCGCTGGGCTGGTAATGAACCAATAATAAATACATACATTTAATGACGTCAGCTTAAGATAAAAATGGCGGACATCTGTCTGAATGACATGAACTGTCAAAAAATTGTAACCTGAAAAGTGATAATAAACAAATTCACGAATAAAATCCAAATAATATATCGTACTTATACAGTGCGGCTAACATTTTCTTGCCCTAAAACCCTCTCAGAAATCCGAGGTGACCTGTGCCCAGCAGTGGGACGTATATAGGCTGTAACTTTTTTATCTTTAAGAGGATATTGTGACCAGGAAAAAATACGGATGGTTGTAATAAAATGTGCCGCAATAGTGTATCCTGGGTGATAAGATTACTTTATTGCCTAGGTGTCCATCTGGGTCTGTACCCATTAGCCCTCAGATTGTTGTTGGTTGGTCCTCAGATGTCCATGGGTTGCAGTTGCGTATTAACATTGTTTTTATATTAATAAATGTCGGTACTGATACCATAACATAATTTTATTGAAAACAATATGTCCTTTCTTTAATTTTATAAAATCCTCTAAAACATAAAACTGGAGCTGGCAACCCTTCGAAATGGGGTGATTTTCCTTATTCCGCCCACACGCCGAATAATTTATTATTATTTTATTGTATTTAATCTAGAGACCTAAATGATTATGACAGACGTCACCATTTTTTAATGGAAATACCTACTGTAATATTTTTTTTATCTGTGCCAATTTCTATTATCTAAGTATTGAATATAAAGAAAAAGCATGTAACCGATTCAATGTGTAGTTCTTCGCGAACCTAAACATCGTTTGTTTGTTTATTAAACAACATAATACTATTTTTAAAAAAAATTAAAGTAAACTAAAATAATGGCGGGAAATAAAATGCCAGTGTTTAACATTAACAAACTATTAGAAATTTAAATGTAAAGTTTCTAAATTTTTTGTTATGATTAGTGTGTAAAAATATTTGTAATAAAACACGGAAAATGAGATCTAAACTTTTTGACAGTGAATCTAATGCAATGGATAATAACGAATATTTTGATGAAGACGATGTAGTTAGTGATGATTTTCAAAGTATAGTAAATTATGTACTGTATGCCTCTGTCGTTTTGCTTATAATATCTTTTAGTTTAACCATTATACGTATGCTTATATTAGGTAAGGATTTTTTTTGTTTTTTATTTAGATTGTACTTACATTGTCTTTTCGGACCATAAAATAGAAGAATATTTATATTTCTGCAATTTTAGAGTTATAATTACAAATTCTCTTAAAACTACTAATTCAAAGGGCTGAATAACTTTAATACCTTTGCCATAATTATGCCATACAACCAAAAATGTTTTTCCCGTTTTATTTTCGTTATTTCGTTTTAAGCGTGCAGACTAACTAAATAAATTTAAAACAATTTAAGTACATTATGGAAATATTTTTGAAAAACTGTGAGAAGCAATGGGACGGTTCGTGTTTACTGTATAATTATATTAAAAAAATCTTTAATTTTTATTTTTAATATATTCTATGTAATCAGAGTGACAATCGGGCACACAGTCCACCTGAAATGCTCATTAAGAATCAAAATATTAAAGCGTTAGAGGTTAAATTTAAAAAAAAAATTATGTAGCCTCTGAGGACTAAGATAGAATACAGCGTTACCACCAATAAGGGCGTCTGTTTCTCTATATTCATTAGGCTATTTACGCTGGCATTTTGTGAGAGTGGGGTCCTTTACCGGTCTAACCGACACATTCTAGCTGTAACCATAATAAAGCTTCAGCTTAGCTTTACCACGTTAAACCACGTTAAACCAAAACAAAAAAATTTAAATCTATTAAAACCATTCTCTTTTAAATAATGATTTGAAGTGGATGGTGCGATTTTGTGTAGCCCATGTGAAGTATTAATAGAAACTACCTAACAGATGTTTCGATGGTGATATACATTTCAAGTTTTTTATCCATTTAGGTAGTTTGAGATTGTTAATTACTGTTTCTGGGTTAGGCTTTCGTCAAATCTCACAAATCTTTGCAATGCATGCAACCCGCATATTTTGAAAAAAAAATACACGTCAGGCTAGACTGTATGGTGTAAACTCTTTACCTGTCTGATCAATGAGAGCTAATAATTTTTTGATCACCAGATGTCGCTAGTTGACACTGAGGTAAAGTTTTTTGTTACACAGTGTAATTTAATTGAGAAGTTGGTTTTTAATAAAAGTTTATCAATTTCTAGAGTAGGATTCAATTAATACACAAAACAATGCGTCAGTGGTTTGCTCTTTAATTTTTTTGCACATTTTTAACTTTCTTTTAACTTTTCAACTTTTATGAATATTTGTGGTTTGGTTTATTTATTTTTAATCTTATTAATATAAAATATAGCTAATAGGAGCCGTGGTAGCTCAGATGGTTAGCGCTCGCTGTAAACTTCTTCACAGTACTCGAGCAACCCGGGTTCGATCCCCGCCGGTACCAATGAAATTGTTAATTGCAATTTTAAGTGCTGATTTACCACGTGCTCGGCGGTGAAGGAAAACATCGTGAGGAAAGCTGCATGTCTGAGAAATAAGAAAAAAAATATTTCGAAGACATGAGAGTTCGCCAACTCGCGTTGGGGCAGCGCGGCTGACATTTTCCTTGCCCTAAAACCCTCTCAGAAATGAGAGGAGGCTTGTGTCTCCCACCAGTGGGACGTAAATGGGCTGCAACTTTGCTTTACTTTTATAGCTAATAGTGCAGGAAGAAACAATAACCTTTGCATTTTCCGAACAAATTAACTTTCCCGCTATGAAATCTGTCAAATATTATACCTCACTTTCTAGTAGCGCCGCCCTGATGGCAGAAAAGTCGTGGATGCCCTTATTATGTTGGAACATATTGAATGACAATTTTTTTTATTAACCGCAATAGACAATATTCAGCTTTATTAGTGCGTTCAAGAAAGGTGTGCGAGGTGGCCGTTATGCCAATACTCCCTTCAATGAATGGTAGTGCAGCAGTGGATATTTACGCACTAATCGAGTCGGCGCTACTAGAAAGTGAGGTATAATATTTGACAGATTTCATAGCGGGGAAGTTAATTTGTTCGGAAAATGCAAAGGTTATTGTTTCATCTGCGAAGGACAGGAGCACAGGTGCGCTCTCTATTCCATCACTCTCATAGTCCGATGGGACGGTAACCAGACACGATCGGAGAGAGATTAGACGCTGGACGAACGGCTTTACGTGTTTTCCGAGGCACGGGAGAAAACACCGCCAACTTCCCAACTCCGGGCTGCTTTCTGCCGTCTCGGTATTCAAACTCAAGAACTTCATGATGAGCAACCGCGTTTACAAACACTAGACTAACGAGGTAGTCTTACCGCCATCTATCGGAAGCAACAAGACATTTCTATCATATATTCCATAGTTGCCTCATACGACACCAACGAAATGAAATGAGGTGGTGGAATATGTAACACCGTTACTCTACTCGACTAGTGAGATGTAATTATGATGTTACTTTTCTACCGACTTCTAACAGGAGGAGGTACTCAATTTGATTGTATGTTTTTTTATGTGTGTTACCTCATAACTTTTTTCTGGGTGAACCGATTTCGATAATTGAAAGCTGATGCTTCACATGTAGTTCCATATAAATTATTTGATTAAGGTCTGACCAATAGTTTTTGACTTATTTTTAATAATTTATATTGAAGTCGGTTGTACTAAATTTTTAAGATTAAATTATACTAAACTCGTTTCTTTCTTTATATTTCAGGACAAAAAACGCGCAATCCGCAACAGAGGCGACAGTACATAGGGTCGCGGGCGCGGCCATCTTTACCGCAAGTGGAGCCAACAATATATGTCAGCCCCGCCAATTTACCCCCACCGCCTAAGTATGGTGAGTTAAGATAATATTTTGCATTCAGTGAACAAATTACAAAACAATTTCACTAAAGGGACGCTTGCAAAGGAAGCCTACCATTAGGAGAGAGATATTAAGGACGTTTTTTATAGAATAAGGGTGATAAACGAGCACACAGTCCACCTGATTGTAAATGATTGCTGTGACCCAAAGACATTTACAGTTATCCTTAATTAAGAATCAAAATGCAGATGCGTTTTCACCACTGAGGACTAAAATGGAATGCCTTGTTTCCAGTACAAAGGGTCTCCGGTTCTCTACACTCACCATACGAAACACAGCAGCGTTAAGCTGCTATTTTACGCTGGTATTCTGTGAGAGCGTGGTCCTTCCCCGGTCGAGCCGACCCATTCGTGTTACAACCATAACATAGCTGCAGCATGGCTCTACCACGTAAAACGATATCGGGGTAGTCGATATTCTTACTGCAAATTCAGTCACACTCACAACCAATACCTCATGTAAAATAATTAGTAAATCCAGCTTAAATAAAACATTAGAAACGTAATAAATACATTGTGCTAATTGTGCAGAAAAATTATCATTTAACATTAGCAACGAGTGCAGATAACTATGCAAATTCTGTGCTACTAATTTTATTTAGTTAATACGATGACATTATTACTTTGAGGGCTAATAATATTCCGCTCACTAGATGTCACTAGTTGGGGCTGAACTAGTTATTTGTTAATGTTAATTGACTAGTTGCGTTTTAAATAAAAGTTTATCGATTAAATAAACAAAACAATGCCCGAATGACTGGCTCTTTAAAAATTTGACACATTTATTAATTTTCTTTTAATTTTTCTTCTTTTGGAATATCCGTAGATTGGTTTATTCATTGTTAATCTAATGAATATAAAATATAACTAATATTTCAGATATTTATAAACATTTACCTTTACATAAAAAAAAAATAACTTCCTCGCCATAAGGTCTGTTAAATAAATCATCTCATTCCTAAGTGTCGTAGGCATGGTGACAGCTTAAGATAATCTTGCCACCTCATTTTGTCCCGTAGGTTTTGTTAGATAACCTCCTATATATATATATATATATATATATATATATCATACAACTCTCTAATTACGGCGTTAATGCATATTTTAGCCCTTTTCCCCAATCGTGCATATTTCGTTTAGTAGCGGGAGGTACCTACATATAGGGACCTAGTCTATTAAAATATATAAAAATAAAAATGGTTTTTTGATTTTGCATAGTGCATATTTTGAAAATATCAACAGTTTTAAGTGCAGTCTAGTCATAACAGTAGTTCGGAGAGTGCGCCCATGAGCTTCATAAGCTCATACCCCCATCTTCATTCTCCTATTGGAATACCAGACGTACCGCAGGTACTGTACACTTGGTTGATATTTCGAATATTCGCACTGGGCGTTTTAAGTCATGTTTTATAATGCGCACAGCCAAGGAGTGGAATGTCCTGCCGACGTCTGTTTTTCCGAGTGCATATAACCTTAACCTCTTCAATGTGCGTGTTAACGGGCTTCTCCTGGGCATACTCGCTCCATCGTAGACCTTATGTTTGCCCTCGTAATGAAATAATGGAGGTAAAGAGTGAGCCTAGTTTAATAATAAATAAAACAGTCTTTATGTGGTATACAGACTAAGAAACTACTATAGATTACATAGACAGTATGTTAAGTCTTTCCTGTGCTTTTTGTATACGTACAAAATAATAATTATAAAACAGTGTAATGTATTCGTTACCCTGTGGCGCATCTTACGACACCCACGGGGTGATATGGAGTAGAGGATATTCTTACACCGCCGCTATACGAAAGGAAACAAATCAGGAGTAAAAAACTGTGATTGTCAACTCAACTGCCAAGCGAGGCACCTATGCCAAATATCCCCCTTATAAGGAAATCTATAGGGGAGACGACCTAAGTTCAGCAGTGGACTTTAATAATCTACCAGGAGCACATGACCCACAGAGAGGGGAAATTTTCAAATCAACATTAACATTACAACTATGGCAAATATCTCCCCTATGAGGCAAGCTATGGGGAGGCCTATGTTCAGCAGTGGACTTTAATAGGCTGTAATAGATGTATGTATAGAAGATAATTTACCAGGAGCACATGACCCACAGAGAGGGGAAATTTTCAAATTATCAGTAAAATTACAACTATGGCAAATATCTCCCCTATGAGGCAATCTATGGGGGAGGCCTATGTTCAGCAGTGGATTTTAATAGGCTGTAATGGTAACAGTAATTTATATAAATTGACGTTCAGAATGGTCTCGTCCGACAGTGTCCTAACGGGGCGCGTTATTAATTCGTAAATATTGTTCCGTTTTTAGGGTTCCGTACACAAAGTATAACCAACGGGACCCTATTACTAAGCCCCACTGTCCGTCCGTCTGTCTATCAGCGGGCTGTATCTCATGATCCGTAATAGTTAGACAGTTGAAATTTTCACAGAATGTATATCGTCTGTTTAATCAATCCATCGGCTTCGACCAAATGTGTGGCTGATTTTAGCTGAACGCCAAATGTGCCGCCGGAGGTGCATACTTTGGCCGAAGGCGATTTTTACGTGGTAGAGCCATGCTGCAGCTATATTAGTAGTATAGTTGTAGCACGAATGGGTCGGCTCGACCGGCGAAGGACCACGCTCTCACAGAATACCAGCATAAAATAGCAGCTTAATGCTGCTGTGTTTCGAATGGTGAGTGTACAGAACCGGATACCTGTTTTACTGGAAAAGAGGCATTCTATTTTAGTCCTCACAGCTGACAACGCGTCTGCATTTTGATTCACAAACGAAAATAGATGTAGATGTTCATGGGCCACAGCAACCACTTACCATCAGGTGGACTATGTGCTCGTTTGTCACCTTATCCTATATATAAAAAAAAAAAACATTCGTTATTTTATACCATACCATTACTTTACATTAGCTTATCAAAAGTCTCAGTCTCAGTCGTCAAAGTACGCTACAGATGCCTCGCTTGGCAAGCGGGTTGGCAACCGCAGTTTTTATTTTTTAGTTTGAGCTGTTAGTGAGAGGAAAATGCTGCTGCCCATCAGGTGTTTCATTTCCTTCTGCCGCTTTTTACGATACAAACGGTCACCCGGTCAATCACTAATTACTTTAATAATCGTCATTTCATCACCATCATCATCATCATTACAGCCCTTCACAAGTCCACTGCTGAACATAGGCCTCCCCTAACGAATGCTACAAAGTACGGTCCCGAGATAAGTTCTCTATAATCATCATTTGTTACTATGAAATCATTGTTATTTTCTACCGACTTCAAAAAGGAGACGGTACTCAATTCGACTGTATGTTTTTGGGTGGACCGATTTCGATGAAGTTTTTTTTATTTCAAATTTCGTGTTTCACATATGGTCCCATATAAATTTGATCAAGGTCTGACCGATAGTTTTTGAGGTATTCTTAATAATTTATATTGAAGTCGGTTGTACAAATTTTTTAATTTTAAATTATATTTTAACGATAACATTTTTCTATTACAGAGGCGATGGCTCCACCTAGCTACGAAGAGGTAGTCGGCATACATTATCCGAACTACCAGCCTACACAAATACAACCAATCGCACATCCCATAGCGACAGCTATGGCGCAAAACACCAACGCGAGTGTTGCCTCTGCAAATATTCCAGAAAGTAGGAACCCTGACACACCGCCTGTCGGAACACCGACCACTGTTCTCTCAGTAACAAATGAAAGGCGAACAATTGTAACATCCAGCTCATGAATGTAATTATAACACAAATAAAAGTTAATAAGTTAAGTCAGTAAGGCTATACATAATCCACAGTAATGGATACCATACACGATCCAGTTTACCGTCAAGTTTGCAGCGCGCTTGAAGCGACATCAAGTTTGCAGTGCATCCATATAGATCACTCACGTTCAACTTCGCCGTCAAGTTTGCATGATGCTGCATCAGTTGAAACCATGGCGTCTCTCGCTTATATGCTCCGACTAGCGTCATGCATACTTGACCATACACACGTTCAAGTTTGCATGACGCTGTAAGCTAGATCAAGTCGGCAGAATCGAAATTAAATTTTTGTTTCAAGTAGACTTGTCATGCACACTGATAGCCATACACCGTCAAGTTTACCGGACGCCGCGTCAAGCGGGCTGCAAACTTGACGGTAAACTGGATCGTGTATTGCATCCATAAGGGTAGGGACAGACTGGTCCCACGTACGCAACATATGCGACGCAACGCTCTTACATTGGTGTGCAGTGTACACATAACCTATTTGGTTATGACGTGCTACGCGTAAGCTCTAGGAATACGCAGGTCGTACGCTTGGGATTGCGTACGAACATCTCCTCGACCTTCCCACGCCGATCTGGATATCGCAGGTCGACGTGACGTCGGATTCGTGTGATTCCGTTGCATACGAGTTGCTATTGCATAGTTTTTCATACAAAATCAAGACTCCAGATTTCATAATGCGTTGCACACATTGCGTACGTGGGACCAGTCTGTATTTATATTTTTTTGTTTTTTAAATTTCATGAGACTTCAGTTTATGTACAGCCAGTAGTATTTATCTTAAAGTGTATAATGTATAAAGAACTTATCAAAGTACATTACAAAGCTCTGTAAGTAATAGAAAAATATTCCAGTGCAAACGAATATTTTTAAACACTTTTTTTTTAATTTAAAACAGTGATATACCACTATATTATGAATGAACGACAAAGTTAAATTAAATTTGTCGTTGAATTATCTTTGTATTGAAATCAAGAAAACGTTACATTTTAGGAATAACCAAAAAAAATTTAAATTTGTTTTTTTTTTCAACTTTCTATAGAATTTAATAACAATAAATAAAATTTTACGCTGTCACTGACGTTTTAAAATACTTGTTTGAGAAAAGTTCTGAACGAGTTATAAAAATGTTTTATATATCTGTGATATTCCAATTTTCTATCTGTACAAATACAGGTATAAAATTGAAATAGCATAAAAAAGTGGACCACGAAAAGACATATTTTGTATACTATTCTTGTGAATAATTTTCAGTCTTCTTTGAGGACGCAAGACTGATAATTATTTTAGTGAAATATAAAAGGCGTAACATGGCTTCCTTTCACGCAGGGCTGGCAGAGTCAAAATGTGGTGCAGGTTTTGTCTGTTTTCAGAACTTTGAATGCTAGTGTTCGTTATATTTTGGTTAAAACTTTTCGTTAAAACTTTTAACCAAAATATAACAAACTTCTTTTGGTTTAAACGTTCGGGAACAATTTTTCAGATTATTCGAGTTTTTACTGGCATAATAATTTAGAGGTTAAGCCGGGAGCTAACTTTTAATTTCCAAAATGCCACCTCCTAATATCTGCTGCCCAGGGCGATATATGCTCTGTCCATGCTACCCCTCTCCCTCCTTAATCCAATCCTATGTACACACTAAAGTTATATCTTAAATATAACTTAGTTATATTTTAAATATAACTTTAGTGTTCTACCAATGCATTTATAGACGCTAGACAAACATGTATATAAAATAATTGAACGTAACGATAAGTGTTTGTACATACGATGTTACTTATTTGTAAAAATATATTATTTTGATAATATTTATATATTACATGATTAGTTTTTAAGAAGTACTTTGTTTTATTTGTAACCTTCCGTGACGGTCTGTGGCTGGTTGTAGGGCAGTGCGAATTGTGTAGAGTCCGCGAGCGGTGTAACAATGACTTTTTTATAGGATAAGGGTGACAAACATCTAAATCTATCCTCGATTACGTATCAAAATACAGATGTGTTGTTAGCCGTGAGGACTAAGATGGAATACCTCGTTTCCAGTAAAAAGGCTCTCTGGTTCTCTACACTCAACATACAAAACACAGCAGCGTAAATACTATTTTACGCTGGTATCCTGTGAGAGCGTGTTTCTGATGGATAGATGGAATTTTTAGATAAGTAAGAGTAGAGAGAGCTATATTAAAAGCATTACAAAAATCAATAAATGACTCACTGTCACTGCTCATTTTCTACCGACTTCAAAAAGGAAGAGGTAATCAATTTTACTGTATATTTTTTCTTTTTTTATGTGTGTTACGTCATAACTTTTTCTAGGTGAACCGATTTTGATGATTCTTTCTCATGTGATCCCATATAAATTTGGTCAAGTTCTGACTAGTACTTTTTGAGTTATCCTTTATAATTTATATTGAAGTCTGTTGTACAAACTTCTTAATTTTAAATATCCTGCAAAGATGACTATGACTTCTTAACTTGTTATCATCACAAATATTATTTCAGAATACCAAAAGCTATCTGAATCAGGTTTCATCAGCCACTTAAACCTTCTATCCGTGATTGACAGACATGTTCACAATGAATCATGCAGCAAGTTGGAATTGTACATAAGTAAAGTTTTTTTTCTTTCAAGTTTCTTAACGGATTATAATAAGGTAATAAATCTAGAATCTAGATCAAATACACTTATCTAAAAAACCAACGTACGCATGTCCTTATAAGAACTGACTGGATGTCGACACATGAGTTTTAATGACTGTTCTACTTGCTTTGATATCGGCAATTAATTACACATAGTAATCAATGATATGTATTACATACGTTAGTATAGGTATTTATATGCTTACTAGATATTGATTTGTAAGCCCTAAGTTTTTTTTTTTTTATAGAATATGAGTGACAAACGAGTACACAGTCAACCTTATGGTAAGTGGATGAAGAGGCCCATAGATAGACATTTCTACTCGATTAAGAATTAAAACACAGATACGTTGTCACCCCTGAGGACTAAGGTAGAATGCCTCGTTTTTAGAAAAATCGCGTAGAAAGGGTTTCCGTTTCTCTACACACAACATACGAAACAGCAAATTTTATACCAACTTCCTGAAGAGCTAGAGACTCGAAATTTTGAACAAAGCTTGAAAAAACGTGTTATAGTAAAATAAAATTTGTAAAAATATTTACGATTTTTTTAATTTAAGGTTTTGTATAGTTATAACACAATAAAGTTGTAGCGGCTCGACCGGGGAAAGACCACGCTCTCACAGAATACCAGCGTAAAATAGCAGCTTAAGGCTGCTGTGTTTTGTATGGTGAATGTAGAGAACCGGAGACCATTTTTACTGGAAACGAGGTATTCCATCTTAGTCCTCACGGCTGACAACGCATCTGCATTTTGATTCGCAAACGAGGATAGACGTAGATGTCTATGGGCCACACCACAGCAACCACTTACCCTCAGGTGGACTGTGTGTGCTCGCTTGTCTCCCTTAAGTGCATAACGCTCACTATAGGTTCTGGTCAAAGTCAAACATATACTTCAAACTGAATGGGGTATATCCGCTTTACCCTTTGATGTACCCCGCATTGTTCGTGCTCGGAATAGTCGGGTACAATCAGCTCAGAGTAAGACGGGAATTTGCCCTGTGGCATACGTAGTGAAGTTGCTCCGTGGCGCTGCGTGCAACCCGGGGGTGCGGCGCCACCTGCAGCTGTGCGCGCCGGACCGGTACGTGCGGAGGCGGCACCGCCCGCCGCTACTCGCGCTGCCCGTGCCCAGGACCAATTTGCTTAGTAAGTATAGTTGTTAATTGTGTGTATGTGTATGTGTGTAAATAAACATTAGAAAAAAAATATTAGAAACTGATATTCCTTATCGCATTGCGCACTGAAATGAATAATCAAATCCAGATTCGGAGTAAAATCTCGTCATGGGGCTCTAATCCTTTCTCGGTTGATTCTTTCTTTATTCGCCGCAGATCCCTGGTCACGTGGAACTGCGGAGCGACGCGACAAAACAGTGCCAAACTGTGCACCATGTCATGGCGGCTTTTGCGTCTTCCACGTTGTGCCGAGACACATTCAGAAGATTAAAAGAAGAAAAATTAAAAAAAGTTAATAATGTGCAAAAAATTAAAGAGCAAACCACTGACGCATTGTTTTGTGTATTGATATAATACTCTAGAAGCTGATAAACTTGTATTAAAAAACATATTCTCATATAAATTACATTGTGTAACAAAAAACTTTACCTCAGTGTCAACTAGCGACATCTGGTGATCAAAAAATTATTAGCTCTCATTGGAATAGATTTTAGGAGATATAGGCTAAAGGTGTCGATTTAAAGGCAAAACGAAGAGGTTGTATTATTAAAAAACAAGCTAGTTCAACTGGATTCAACACTCATATTGTTCCACACTGTTTAGAAGTGCTCTAAACATTAAAAATGCAGGTTGCTAAAAATGGCTGTTTGATAAAACCCCTTCGAACGCCGTGGTTTTTAATATGAGGCTTATAAGATGAATTTGACAATGTTACGAGTAGCTTTAAGATTTCGTTCGGGACACTATCTATCAAGAAATTTAGATTCTTGATTAAAAAAACTGTAAAGAGTGTGTTATTATTGAGCATATCGAATATTTGGTGATGGAGTGTGACAAATATTAATGTAGAAGGGACTTTATTTTAACGCAATTAAAAAAAAAAACACAATGGTGTACTGGCCCAGCCTATACTATATTTTTAGTCTATTGAAAATAGAAATAATTATTTTTTTATATTGTGTTTTTCAATGATCCACGACAATAAGTGCCACCAGGGCAGCGACACTTTAGAGTGAGGTAAAATATTTGACAGATTTCATAGCAGGGACGATAATTTCTTAGGAAAATGTAATCTTTAAGGTTTCTTTCTGTATTATTAGTTATATTTTATATTAATTACATTAGAAATGAATAAACCAAACTATA